CAAAAAGGCATCAATGCAAAAAGCACTTATTGTAGGAATGAAATTAAGTCAATGCCTATCGTACTAAAAAATTCCAGAGAATCAAAAGTAGATATAAACAAAGGTGTAATAGGCCAAACGTTTGAAAACATAGAAATAAAATAAACCCGTTTCTTCGTGCTTTAAAACATTATTTTCTTTAAAGCTTTTATAACGCTTAAAATTTTGTGAAGTTTACCTAAAATTTTTTATACTGAGCAGTAAACTTTGTTTAATATTACTAAAAAATTAGATTACGAATATTATCCTACAAATGTACTACAATGAATAGCGGTTCTTTATGACACCCAAAAGGATATGCCAAAATGCATGAACACGGATTTAATTCTTAACCGAGATCGAAAACAGTCAAGTACGCTAACAATTTTGGACCATCCTCAAAATCAATTAAAGATAGAGGGATCGGAACCCAATGGCTCAGATAAAAAAGTTTTTCGACTTCAACAGATTTGCAAAAAAAAATTGCAAAAGGCCAGGAGTTTAAAATATCACAGTTTTACGAGTCTATAATAATTTCATTTTCAGGCGGTTTTATCAACTGAAAAATCAGTATTACACTTAAGGGAATGTCAAATTACCCTACGTACAATAACGAGAATTATTAGAATGAAACCTTTGATGAAAAAACTAGCCAATGTAAAATTGTAACAAACTCATTCTGCGAAGTTAATTTGCACCATCGGATTCCTCTTAGGGCCCAATTAGGGACCGATGACAATAATTATTATCTTTGTAGTTTTCAAATTACAAAATGCAAACTAGAAGAAATTCATCAAAAAGGGAAACATCACCTCCTTTTTTCTCAACACATTGAGTAAAATTTTCATCAAAAATCTTTATCATAAAATGGGCGAACAACGTTTTTCGACCCGACCCGCCGCAGATTCATGCCAGCATTTGTTGGTGGCTTCATGTAGCCTTTTTAAAATTATGGTACCATAATCTTTCAACAACGCAAATGCTTGTTGGTGGCTGTATGCAGCCTTTGAGACTCTTATGATTCACTCCTCACAATTTGGCAAATATCAATTCGGTAGTTCAAAATCCACAACATGCAGGCATTTAAACTCTTAAAAACAACAAATTTTCAGAAGCAACACTTTGAAAATTGGACCTCATCATCCTCAAGATTGTTTACGTTAAATTTTTGCATCATAAAGTTCAGGATGACTTTCTGTACTATAGATGTGAACATGGATTGATGCAGAGGATTAAAACCAAAGAGAAACTAATACACTTATCTTTTTGAATATTATACAGTTTGCAATTTGTCTGTTTAATTTTACTTTCTACGATATTTCATTTTGATTTGATTCTAATTCAAATCTTTTCTTTTTTCTATAAAAAAATGAACCAAAAATTGCTGGTTATGACAACCAGGTGGACATATATTTAAGATTAGGGGTTAATTAATGCCCAAATTTCCATTTTTTTTAAAACTACTGCTTTAAGTTGCTTTTTTGCTTTAAGTTGTTTAAATTTTTGCTTTAAGTTTCATATCTGAGCTTAACTCAGTGTTGTAAAGTGCTTTATTCCTGTGGTTAATAAACACCATGATCGTCTTTCTTGATTTTTATTCCTGTGGTTAATAAACACCATGATCGTCTTTCTTCATTTGTATTCCTGTGGTTAATAAACACCATGATCGTCTTCCTTCATTTGTTTTCCGTGGTGGGTTTGTGTGAAACCACAAGATTATATTTTCCACCTTTTATATATATATGCAATTTTACACTTTGTCCTTCATCGTTCAAACATTTGATAATTAGCCTTAATATCCGAATGTAATTCGGGATTTTGAATATTTGGTCATTTTATATTGATGTTTAGCAAAATGGAATACGACCCAATTTTAAACTGGAATTGCAGAAACGCAGACCCTGCACCAGAGGAATTTAAAAGAAAGCTGCCTCTCAGGAAGAAACAACGGAAACCGGTAGCAGTTCAATCTTTGTCAATGGACGACGGGTTAAATAAGAACCCTCGCAACTTTCCCAGTTTAACCCAAAGATTGGAGCTGCAGAAGTGCAGAGAAACCAAATTGGATACTGAAAATCCAAAATATATAACGAGTTTAAAGTACTCAATAAAGGAAAGTTATAACAGATGGAAACTGCCATCGTTCATTGAAGTCGTCAACTCAACGACAATGGAAAAGGCGATGATGCCTATCGACTTCATAACCCAGCCAGAAGTGGTTATAAAGAACGAAAACAACTTCTGGAAATTAAAGAAGAGGGAGGAAATCGGCTACATCCTCAAGGCAGGAGGCACGCCAGTCACCATCCCGTTCGAGGGAATAACTGCTTTTCCGAACCATATAAAAACAGACAGGAAGAACAGGACGACATTCAACAACTTACGGACGGAATGAGCAGACTACGAATCAAAAACAAAATTAAAAAGAAGAAAATCGTGAAGTTGCAACAAAAACTTGAGGCTTCACAGAGGAAGATAGCGATCCTCAGATCATACAACGTGGAGCTAGAAGCCGGAAGGAAGCTCTAGATAAAACCTAACTTATCTTTATAACTTTTTCGTTTGATGTTCTCTTTAAATTTTATAACTATAGTTTTTAACCATTAAAGTGTTTAAATTTTCACCATGGTAACTGTAAGAATCGAACAGCTTAATTTTCTAAAAAAAGGGGTGAGTTGTAGTATTGCGAAATACTACACACACACAAAAGACCATTGTCTTAATCGTTTATTTAACGACCCAATTCTAAATTGGAGCGTGCCATTTAAATTAAAGCCTCTTTTCACTAAATCAGATATTGACTGATTTACTCTTATTAGGACTATAAAATCTTGTTTTGAAAATCCACTCCTTGTTAAATACTTGTCCAATTTTTCTCATTTTTTCATGCTCAATATTTTAAAAGGGCGGCGATTATTAATACGTCCCTTTTAACTTAACTTGAAACAAACTGGATAAATATTTAGCAGTCTTGCCGGCTGCACTGAAATTCTCCTTGCTTTGATTAAGCAGAGGTGCACCTGCAATATGATGCATCAGAGAGAGTAATATGAATTTTTAATAAGACAAACTGAAGGCTGCGGTTTTTATCAAAGGGGACTAATAAGTTGAAGATATTTGATTTGAAAAAATCAAATAAAAACTAGTTGAAAATTCCCTTATTAAAAAGGGAGAACAAAGGAGCAGGTGAAACCTGAATAATTAAAGATTGAATCAGCCTCCGGTTTATGCTTACGAGCAAAAGGACTGGCCTGAAATCTTCAGTGTTTCATTTTGCTCAGTAAGCAGCAAGTTAGATATCTTCAGTTAGACCTTTTCAAAAAATAAATAATTTTCCTTTTCTGCCTTTACAGTAAAATTAAACTAGTCTTTTTTCACAAATAAAATAGAGAATAAATTCTCATTTCAAGTTCGATAAAATTATAAATTGAGATACTCGAGATAACCCCATCTGAGGAAGTCTGGACTACAAGTACCCAAAGGACTACGGCAAAGACGATACTGACGACCAAACCAGAAGTGCCGAAGTGGACACAACCAAGGGCGACCCATTCGTACTAATCAGCCACCGACCTTAGTAAGAAGATAAAATATTGATGAACAAAATAAGATTAGCTCAACCTCCCCTCATAGGTATATTTCTTTAAGCTGTTCGATTCATTTATATAATCTAATAACCCAGTGCTTTGTATCTAACCAACTAATTAATTCATACCTTTTCTAACTATTGTTTCTACTCTACTTTTTGTCAAGACAATTTGACGATTTAAGGTGAGACTTATAACTTAGGACAAAATTACTAAGCATTCAACCAGCAATGATCGCTTAGTAAACTAGGATCAAAACTTATTATTTCTGACTTTATATGGCGTGTGGGGGATGGTTTTAACAAAAAATCTCAAAAAATACATTTTATTTCATTACATTCAATTTTTTCATGTTATTACTGCTCCATAGACCTTAAAAGGCAGTCGGAACATTCAAGGCTTCGCCCTGATTCGAGCAGTCTTATTTGCTTTTGTCTTCATCATAGATGATCTGGAAAATAGCCATGGGACGGAAAGATGTGTAAGTTCTCACACAGTTGCCGAAGGTTGATATATGCCACGCAGTACTAACTAGCTCCCAAACAGCAATATGACGTAATCGTTTCTTTTTATCGAAAATGGTCCAAATTAGGAAAATTGGGAAATATGACCGTAAATCTAACAGAAAATAGTAGATGAGAAACGTTGATGAGACAAAGTTTTTCGAAAAATATTCGTTCGAAAAATTTACGTTGATGAGAAAATACAGTTTTTTCGAAAAATAATAGTTTGTGGTCATAATTTTTTTTACAGCTAAAAAATTTCTCCATTTGGCTATAAATTCCATGGTATGGAAACTGATCAAACAGCATGTGCTAAAAAACTAAAATACTTTTGAAAGTATGGGCTTTCAAGTCTCAGCGTTTTCTTGTTCTAGGAACAAAATGCAAAACTTAAGAAATTTTAAAATTACAATTCTCATCTACGAGAATTGAGGAATGGTATCTATGATATTTTAGATGTACAAGCTTGTTTGTCTTGCTTTTTCGGGCTATACAGTTCAACCCGGTTTCACAAATTATTAAAGAACACTACAAATTGAGATAAACTATTTTTTCCAGGTATTTTTTTGAGCTGTTCGACTGCAAATTTGAAAGTTTGATTTATATTTTCAGGAGAAAAACAACTAAAAATTGAGATCCAATCCATCACAGCAAAGTCAAATTGGCTGAAAGGGTTTTGCTGTCATTTGATTTAAATTAAATATGTATGTATATGTGATTAGGTTACTTTTTTGTCCAAATTTTTTCGAATGGAGACTCAATTTTAATCAATGTTTGTGCAATTTTTTCTTTTTTCTTCCTGGTACAAAGACTAACAGTCTAGTTATTGCTCCTCGGCTGCACTTATAATTAACAATATATCCCCAGTTTTACCCACCTCAATATTTTATAGCAAACCAGAGTCGTGGATTTGACCTGATATATATCTCATGTTGACGACTGTCTATTAGATGCAAGCAGATGCTCTGTTAACTTCAAAATCATCCCACAATTTTAAATAAAAGTTCTTCTTTTATTTACTAAATTACTCCAAATTTGATATTGGTTTTGAAAACATGGAAATGACTAACTGGAATTTGAAGATTCTGAACTTGACTGAAACGACAACAAGTCGCACAATTGTTCACGAGGAATCTCAGATTGTCTGGCTTGCTGCGACGGACTATCTGGAACTATCTGGAACTGTAATCTCCCTCATCGGCATTCTTCTCAACTATTTTTGCTTCCTAACTGCAGATAAGCTGCCCAAATCAAGTAGTGCTTCGCTCATGAAACATGCTGCGTTCTGGGATTCAGTGTCAGCCATGAATAATGGAGTTGTGAAAATGGGGTTGCAGCAATTAGGGCTGGATCTGGACAACTTGAGCGTGAGTACATCGACGAGTTTCTTGACATTAAAACCCTTGATCTTCCTTTGGCCAATCATCGCTGAAAAAACTAACTTTACCGAAAGCTTTGAAAACAATCACTTTCGAAAAAATTGAATCGCAAGAAAATCGACACCTTTTTTGATAATTTAACTTGGGTTTCTTATCTCATAAAACTTCATCCATATTGATTTTAGCGAACTATTATCATCCCAATACATAAACTGTTGAACTCCTGAATAACTAAGAAGTTGCCACCTTAGTTTCTAACCATAATAAGATTTTTTGTCATTTATTTTGTGTCAAAACTCATTGGAAAGCTTCAAAATTTCTTTTAAATTTGCTTAACTTTTTTTTCAATTTCACCTACCGTAAAAAAACTTGAGCTATTGTTTGGTGCTGCGGTATGATCAGTGTTTTATTTTCTACTCTCGACAAATCAAAGAGTCAATACTGGTTTGCATAGTGAACTGGGGCTACTGTTTTTCTCAGAGATTGCTAAGCTTGGGAGTGATTTTGAAGAAAACTGAACTATAAGTTTTCTCTAATTTTACTATGAAAGTTTATAAATTGTATTACATACAAAATATTCTCGGAAAATTTTTTTATATTTGGTAATAAAAATAAAGAGCGTTTCATGGAGCTTAAAATTTGAGTCGCGCATTCAAAATCAGAGCTGTTTTCTAACCAATTGATAATAGTTTTGAATATTGAGTTGAATCAAAATGTTTTTAGGACTTGTCATGTCGGTTTGTCCGCTTCGTGTTTCCTCTGGCCACATTTCTGGCAGTGTACCATGTCGTACTGCTGGCGGTTGACCGTATCGTCATCATCAAGGCCCAAGTGTGGCATCGCAAACACTACTCCCCAAATGCGATCACTAAAATCAGCGGGACCATCATCATGATTGGAATCTTCATCAACACACCCAATATTGTGTTCTACTCTATGCTGGATGGAAGATGCCAGCCAATTACTAAGTATTATTCTTATATTTCATCAGCCAGAGGCTAATCTAAATTTTGCTATGCTATGGTTACGTATACGTTAGGTCGAAAATTTCTCACCGCCAAATTGAACCCGCATTTACTGCCGGAGCTCCCACTTAATAAATAGATTAACAAGTTTTATCTTTTTTTTTTTAAAAAAAAACTGGAGTTATTGTTGCCATAATCCCACCTCTCTGTTTTCTGGAAATTTTTCATGATTTCTATCCTATGCCTTTGAAGTTTACGTATTAGTTCTCCTTTACTCACCATCAAGATTTTAACTCGAGTGCAGAATCTAATTTTGCATTTTAAGTGTACATGTCACAGTTAAATTCCGATACCTGTTACTCTAACAATGTCATTAAAAACGAAAACTTTTTGTCAAACAAGGAAGTTATTGAAAAAATCTCTTTGAAGCCTCGTATCTGGTAAATTGAAGACCACTGCAAGAAATGTGGGGTAAATTCAAGAATTTTTGTTGATGTTAACAGTGAGGCGATGACTTTGGTGGCGGTCGGAATATTCGGTCTGGTTCTGTTTGTTCTGCCGTTCATCATACTCATCGTGTGCAATTTCTTCTTCGTGTGGGCCCTGAATGCCCGAGAGACCAGAACGAACACTCGCCAGACAACCACGACTGGAACCGAAAGCACTACGGTCCACAATAACCGACCAACAGGGGAGAATTTCTTGCAGATTTTTTCACAAGAGGATCATTTTCTGACAAAAAGCTAAGCAAACTCACGATGTATACAGAAACATGGTTACATGTCAGTATTTAGACAACCGCGTATTCAGACTGGTCAGTATTTAGACAAATACTGTTTCAACCAATCAGAATCGAGACAAAGAAGAAATTAATAAATAATATTTATTTATTTTGGATTATTTATGTCTTTTCTCGATTCTGATTGGTTCATACAGTATTTGTCTAAATACTGACGAGTATGAATACGCGGCTGTCTAAATACTGGCTGCACTCCCATATATCAAACTTTTTGAAGTTTTCTCTACGTACTGAACTAGTCAATCCACCTTAGAATTTGAGCTTGATTTGGGTCTAGTGTTTCAGGATAGCACAAAAAATGTATTTGAAGTCAAAAAAAGTTACTCCACCCCTGATTCGAAGTATATTTTTCATTCATTTCTTGCAGTAAAAACAGCGCATTTAGCCATGGTAGCATGGAAAAGATAAGAAAGTAAAATTTATAATAGAGGGTGAGGGCTGGTGGATCGGAAAAGAGCCAGTTTCCACCGTTATATTCTTCTAGTCATGCTTTTCTTTGGTAAATTTTACGGTAGTAAATTTTATGGGACCTCATTATGGTATATAGGGCAGATTAGTATAGGGTATATTAGTATAGGGTATATTAGTATAGGGTAGTTTGGAATAGGGTAGAGTGTCCTGCCACCAATTTTACCTATCCTGCTGAATCCTATTCTATTCACAATTTTTTTCATGTAAGATTTCACATTCCGGTTAAAGGTGTTTGATCTAAGTTTTGGCGGGTATAATTTAGCCCAAAATCCGATGTCGAAGAGTTTTTTTTTCGGCCGAACACAAAATTGAAAACGTGTCGAATACAACAAACTCGAGTTTTAGTCGAACACCAATTTAAAAAAAACAAACTAACAGTAGAAAAATAGTTCAACACATTGTTCAAAACAAGCGCGAACGCAAAGCCGAAACATAGACGTTCTCAAGAAAACCAATGTAAGTTTGAATTTAATTTTTATTAAGAAACCAGTAAAATTTCTGAACTGAAATCAGAAAATAAGAAATGAAAGCTCAGAAAAAAGGAAGAAATCAGAAAAAAAATTGGAAGTTTAGAAAAAAGAAGTCAGAAAAAAAGAGAATTATCAGAAAAAAATGGTACTGGTTGGAAGAATTTCAAGTTCAAACAGTGAAATGCTTCAATTAAACATAGGATAATGCTGCTTCTGTCGCATCGGACGGAACATAGCCACTTGTGTTTGATTTGGTAAAACAATTGTTGAGTATAAAAAAGTAACCCATTTTCAGACTACCGCAACTAATTTTCAAACTTTTGCTGCCTGAATTAGATATTTGTAAACATTGTCTGAGACCTTAAAAACCTGGCCATACGCGAAATTTCGGATGCGAAACTAAAAACTTTGGTGCAACTTTGAATGTCCGAAATATGTTGCGGAACTCGACCCGGGAAAGCACACTTGTCCCGGACACTATCGAAGACAACTTAGTTTCGTTCGAGTCGTGCGAATCATAGAACTTTGGGTCACTTTAGCCAAAACTTAGGTCAAACACTTCGATTCAAGTCATAAAATTGACTGAGAGAATGAAAATTGCCTGCTTGAAATTCATCATTAAACCATAGCTTCGGTTGAACAAATGCGAATACAAGAAAAGAGAAGGGCAAACACACACGACTACATCAAAATGATTTTCTGCCTGACATTCGCTTATCTCATTTGCACGGTATGTGCTGTGGTCAGTATGTTCTTGGCGGCCAAAGCAAAAAGCAGAGAGTTGGCTGGTTTCTACGAACAGCTGGCTGGCCTTATCGTCATTTTCAACAATTCGGCTAATTTTCTATTCTACTTGATGAGCGGCCGTTCCTATCGAAGAGCTTTCTGGTCGGCACTAGTTTCAAAATTGGGATACCCTACTGCAGCAATATCGGGTTAACAAAACCCGCAAACAGCAATACCCACAACCAACTTTGCAATCGGGGGAAATTCGCGAGGTTCAATCTTCGTATATGACTGAATATTTTAAAAGTCGTTTTTTTTTGGAGAGGAATTTTAGTGAGATAGTCACTAACATATAATTACTAAAATGCTCAAATCGAATAGTCAATTTTGAAGTAAGTATATTTGAATTCTATTTATGTTGTAACTCGCATATATTGTAACTCACATGATTGTTGATTGAATATTATTTTGCTGAAAAATAACTTGAAAACTGTAAAAATGTTATGATTGTATTTATAAGCGGATTTAGGGGAAGAATGGTGGAAACTAGTGCACGTTGAATTTGATGGTATATCGTCCACGCTGAGAAAGCACAATTTTTGTGTTAAAACTTTCAAAAAAATGCCGTATGACAAAAATAGTGTTTTGGGAGACCTCGGAAAAACGCCTGAAATTGAAAACTTTTTTGCCCTGTCGAGAATGCTCTAGATCCGCTCCTGATTGTATTCAAATTGTTATATCAAATGACTGCCATATTGAGTTTATTGTTTCCAACTGCTTATTCTTGCTTGAAATCTGCTCGCAAATAAATGTTCTTTAGTTAGTCGTTTCACAAATATCGAAAAATTGAAAAGATGTCCTGTTGTTAAGGAAAGGTCATTTAATTAAAACTGGTTGTGCAGATTTAAATTATCCGGACAAAACGAGCAACATTTGAAACTTCAAAGGCGTTTTTCTCAATTTGGGTTAAGTTTAGACAAAAATTGAGAGAACCAAAATTGCATAGAATTTCACCAAAAAAAATTTGGTGCAATTCTTTTTGCGACTTTCGGAATTAAAAATTTACCTCTAAAATGGGTCATTTTGACTTTTTTTAAATTAAACAAAAATTAAGCCGAAAACACCGAGTTAATTGATGACAAAGTTGTATCACAAGGAGCGTCCTACACAGCACAACAAATTTCTAAAAAAAAATTCCAAAAATTACGCAAAACTTTTATATTAAATTTGTAATTAAGCAAATATTTTGGGTTTTAAATAGTAAAAATCACATTTTTTGGCTATCAAGAAAAAGTAATTTCTCGTATACAAAATTTTGAAGATTTTTTCCGCAACTTTGCTGGGCTGTGCGAAAGAGGCTCCTTGTGAAATAATTTTCTCG